ATACAATGAAAGGAGACCTCTACCATAGAAGAGGCCACACCATCCTGGTCTTCATATCTTATATTAAATATTCATATTAAATAGTATATAATGTTGAGACTTACTTTTGGATTAATGCAATTCCGATCATGCTTTTCTTTGAATCACTAAATCTTGTTGACTAGGGGTGAATATTAGGCTTTTTATAATGACCCTGAATTATATATGATATTAGGTACTCTGACTTAGGCTGGTACAAATTTGAACACACACACACGCACTCAAGCACAGATAACCTAATTAGTATGAAATGGAACTAACTGTATCATTCAATATCTATCTACATCTATAAAGTTTTGTTCTTAGTTATGAGAATATATAGCATGTAGGAAAGAATCTTTTTAACATAATGTTACCCTGATACTTTGCAAGGACGAGTTCAATCTATCAAGATATCTTTTAAGCCACTTGAAGAACAAAAGATTAGCAGATTTTTACACTAAAAGTGGGAAAATATACGAAGAAAATGCGTGTTTCAAAGAACCTCCTGAGATAAGATTGCTGTGAAGACTTTTGTGTCCTATGAAAGTAAATGAAGTAGCGATTCGAAAGTCGATCTCACTAGAAGACAATGGCCGTTTTTCTTTTTACTGCAGCCATTTGGCTCTAATGTGACCTTCAGGTTGATGCAATCCCCGAGACATCCTCCGACATTTCGATCAAATTATATCTGAGATTTCGGTCATCATGCTACATGAAAAACATCGTCAGAGCTGGGACTAATTCTTGAAAAATTTCCACCCTAATTCGGGAAGATTTTCCGGCTTTTTTCTATATTATATATATATATATATATAAAGGTTTGGCTAACTTCCTTATAATCGGATGTATCTGCATGCGTATGTATGCTAACGTGTGTACGCAAAACCACCTGTAAGTCAGAGTAATTTGTAAATGCCTAATGTCAGCCCTGAGTCATTAAGGCTTAATGACTTAAAGCAAAGCATGACTGGGATTGAGTAGTGTTGCTGGCCCGTTTAAGCTGCTAAACTTGACATGCCTGTTGAACGAGTGTGAATCTGGTTAGAGCCATCACCCAACTGCTTTGAGTGAGTGTTCTGCTCCATTCACTCAGAAGGGAGAATGTCTAGTGAACTGCACCAACCTCAACATTATATTTGAGCTAAACGGCTACACAGCAGCAGAATTTCAACCGTAATCTTCTAGTGAAATCTAACTAAAAATTCACTCATAGTGCACATTCATACTAAATGAAAGTCTCCACATCACTTTTATGCTAAGATATTAATCGAAACCCAGCTTATCTGCGAATATGAAGCAGTATTTAATAAGATCATTAAAGAATATGATAATCACCACTCACGAATACAATACTACTTAAAAAACCTTTCAGTAGCATGCTTAAAATAAAATAAAGAAGAATTAATTATATTTAATTAGAAAATATGCTGCTCACGCAAAAAAAAGAAATGCTAAAATTATAATATAAAAAGGAATTTTAGTTTTCCACTAATCACCATATAATGTATAGAAATAGCCGTTATAGTATAGAGATAGATGGTGACGATGTAAATAGTCAAGCTCATTTCAACCAAGAATATAAAAGTAATGGTTAGCAAACAAGGTAGATCACGCACTCGGTGGTCTCGCGACCAAGCTCCTTAGCCATCAGCAGGTAATCTTTGGCCACATTCACAAATGTCCGAGAGCATGGCAACCCGACTGTAGAATCAGTGCTAGCGGACGATTCAGAAGCAAGAACTCTTTCGGCCGCGACGCGAGCCAGCCAATGAAAGATCGCAGTACGAGACTCAGAAGAGGGTATCACCATACAATGCTGACGTTGCTGGTGTTTCCGTGATTGTGACAATATGGTGCTTTTGGCCAGGATACACGCTAAACTCCACGCAAATCGTAGTCCTCTTCGAATATGTTGACTGTGAACGTCTTTCTCATCGACGACGGGGGTGCCAATATGCTTGTTCACGATAAAAACATCATCGTTGATAGCCGCTTCTGGAAGATCGTTTTTGAGGTCGACAAGAGAGCAGATGCAGTTAATTTGAGCTGAGCTGCAAGTTTCGGAAGATTGAAAAGCTTCTGTAGCTCGCATTTTCCCCTGCCCATTCAAGTTTGTGCATTTATCAACATCCTTGCCGGCCCTTAGCCAAAAGGCCGATAATCGGTTGTCTGACTTGGGCCCAAGACGAGCTGATGAGGGGTTCTGATCCGAACGAAAAACTAAAGGCGGGCTCCGATCAGCAGATTCGTGCTCACGCCTCCCTTGTAGATTATTGTGGCGCGGAGCCCCGATAAAAGTAGGACAGAGGAAAGGCAGGCGGTAGGCGGAGGCGATGTGTCTTGGCAAACAGAAAGTGGTCCTAGAGGATCACAAGAGATGTGCATTTACAAGTAGAGGTTAACAGGATTACAGAAGTGGAAAAAAAAGTTGGGTTTCAAGGAATCTCTTGTTTGAAAATTGTTGAGCTTATTTTCATTTCGAGTGAGTGTTAGGTGCCTAAATACTTTGAGCAATCACTGTGGGTTTCGTGCATAAGCGAACACAAACAGGCACATACGCATACAGAGACAGATGCACTCACATACATCGAAGTTTACATATGACCTTAACTAACCAAATCACTTTATATTTGATCAAAGATGATGTAGAGTATATATACCACTTTTTAGGGATTTGCCGGTAAGTTTTCTTGACTCGTTAGCTTGAATTTTTGTTGTAACGATGAAACCTTGCTCTGATGATGTTCGTCATTTGACGGACGAAAGCTTAGCACCTTTCCACCGGAATCGAAGGAGATTACCTCGGAAACAGCATCAGCATGAATGTTCCAATAAAGCCAGTCGACAGTGGGTCAAGAGGAATCCGCCGTTGTCTTCTGGTAAAACCGACCTTCGAATCTCTCCAAACAACACTTTCACTCGAAATGGAAGTAAGCTCAATAACTACAGAAGTGGGTAGACCTGGTTGTCGCAACTCAGTCTTGTTGTCAGTGAGACTTAGTAGAACGCACCTAGTCCGAAGTCGTCTGCCATTGCAGTTGTCATGATTCCCAGCATCAGACAGTGGGCTTGGTACATTCTCAAACATTTCGCCGGCATCATCAGTGAGTTTTGCCTCTTTGCCGAGTTCGTATCTTGGTGCAAGAATGGCAAAACTTACTGATGATGCCGACTAAGATGCCAGCGAAATATTTGAGAAGGTACCAAATCA